AAATGATTCAATAACCTCTGATAAACTGCTGGATGAACTATGAAATAAAAGAAAGAGTTTGGAATTTATGTTATAATAATATAGAACATATAAATAATAATTAGTTATCATGAGTTATGAATATACTTTTATTTGACTGGTAATTTTAACTATGTACTATGTAAATAATGGTGAAAAAAGTTTGTTATAAAAAGGTAGTTTTACGAGTGTATTGTATTTTTTGAAACCTCACTCTCTATAACAAATTTTAATTTATACCATTACATGCGCAAGTAATGGATGTTAATCAATAAAAATATCTTTAAATAAAAAATAAATGTAACTATGTATTACATATCATATTATATTATAATAATTATATTAATATGATTATGTAACATTATATTTTCTCTAATATTTATTTTTTAACTTAATTTCATTAATATTTTACCTTCATATTATTTACTAGTTCTGTACTGTTTTTCTCTACTGGTCTTATTATCTTATTATTTTTTTTTGTTATGAATCAAATTCTATAAAAATTATTCACGTTATTTCCAATATTTTTATTTTTATTTTTCAATTCTTTATTTATGACATGGAAATTTTATCTAAGAAAATCATTTATTATACTAATTTCCTGGCATCAAGAAAATATTATACAGTCAGAATTTAGTTGAATTATGCATTTTCTTTTCGTTTTTGTGGTTTATACCGTGTAAATTATACAGTAACTCACACGTAACGTAGTAATTATGGAATGCATAAAAAGAACGGATATTTTACTTCTAACAATAACTTTTTACATATTTTTACTCGAACGTCATTATAGTATATGATAATAAAAAAAAATATGCTGTTTCATTTAGTGCCATATGATTTCCTTCAACACTTGTTTTACAACATACATATCTGTACTTAACCTCCAGACGCTAAACCGGACGTTTCGTCCTAATAAAAAAAATAATAAGCCTCCGACCTTTCGTTTGCGATTTCCAATACGCACCGTCCAGCTGTCGTAACCTGTGGCTGTACAATGTAATAAAATATATTATTTTTCGTGTGGTTTCGTGTTCATTGCACAGTAGTTAATATATTCTTTTTTAGTTTACCATCTCGAACTTGCAAATTGTTAACACTCTTAGGACTCCTTGTTTTTACTGTATCTTACAAGCTTTTTGTTGTACGCGCAATAGACTATTAAGCTCTTGACTCGGAAAAATGAAACAGAAAATTATAGATAAATAGATTAATATATTACTAGATAGATATATATTATTATTTTATAACAATATCAATTTTTTAATTTATATTGAAAAAGACAAAAGTTTATCTCCATAAAGTAAATCTTACGGAAAAGATAAGAGTTCATATTTATTATGATCTCACCGCACAAGTACATTTTTAACCGATCACGCCGCGTATTCGTTGTATATTTTTTTTAATGGCCACTGCACTCGCTCATACGTAAGTATAACACCGTATTCATCGTCTGTATCGTCCGACGATACAGTATTTCCAATGCACTTTCGAAATATGCCCTCCTTCGGAATATATAATAATAACCTTGTTACCATCTAACCTAGGATTTCACTTGTACAATGTACAGCCTATATATAGATGTACCGTGTACGTGATGTTTCCTATGGTACAGAACGTTTACTTTATAACAATACACATACATGTATATGCGCGCCTTTATTTGTACACCCGAAGTCATACTCAAAGTAAGTACTCCACGAAATGATACTAAATTAATACAAACATTAATTCACTATTCAACGGAATTGATTTCTCCGTTTCTCCGTACGACGTGTCTTTGATCTCCGAACGATTGATTAAACGATTCCGATTTCAGTCGAGTGGTATACGTTACTCATTTATTAATTTGCGATGCCGTACATCACCGCGGTCGTGTACAACCGTTCCAAGTACGATTTGGTACACTTTGGTTCGGCTTTGTCAAATACGAGTTTACATTGCAAGCCAGGGGCGGATCCAGAGGGGGGCAAATGGGACGATCGCCGAATTGACAAGATTAACACAACAAAATGGATTGAATCGTGAGCTAAGAAAGGCAAACGAACAAGAGAAGAAGAAAATTGTCCTAAAAAGATAAAAATTACTGAAGAAAATGCATACAAGTTATTGTGGAATTTAATTAAAGAATAATATTTATTTCTGTGATTAATATTATTATTTCGTTAAAAATAATGTTATAGTAATAAGCAAATAATTATTATATAATAATACTACCTTTACAGTGCGATATTACATTTTCAGGGGGCGTGAGGGACGAAGTCCACAACTGGTTACTTTACAATTTATCAGCTATGAAACGGTGTTTTTTGAACTAAAACCAGCGTCCGTCCTCAATTTTTTTTTTTTCCAATTCGAGCACTGATACCAAACTTATGCTGGTACTATGTTATTACTTATATTTATTATTCGGTGATATACTGATATCACAGTTATATATTACTATCATGATGTTAAATATTCGTAGGAGCGTCTAAACACAGGAATGCACCTTATGCATTCTGCGCATGCGCGTAATTTATTCACCACAATCATAATGTTAGGCTGTTATCAATGTATTTTATATCAAATCACTATAATACAATAATATTATTATAATAATATGAGTTTTAAATCAAACTATTCAAAATTTGAACATACTACTTACGTATTTTACACCTTTTTTTTTTGTGAATCCACCATTTCAGTAAATAAATCATTATACATACCACATACATTTGAAGAAAAAAAAATCAAAACAGCAATAACTATCTAATATGTTGAGATGGGTTTTAATGTTTATTTATATCTTTATTTACCTAATTACCTATTTGAACATTTCATAAACCAGACTTTATCAGAATGTATTACACAAAGGCTATTTACTAAATGTTTTATTGAATATTAACAAAACAATTCACAAACATTTTAAACATAAAAATTCAATATTATCTTATATGTATATTAACAGTGCTCGACTTGAGAGAGGACGCAGGGGGACGGAGTATCCCAACTAATTTTCAGAAATTTTAGCGTTCCCCTACTATTATTACGCTATAATCATAACGCTCAGCCAGTTTTGTGGACGTCCTTTTTTTTTAAAGTAAATAGAGTCCCCCTTATTTAATTTTGCCAAGTCGAGCACTGTATATAAATGTCATTATCTTAATAGTAAGTACAAGTATGAATTATTAAAACCAACTAGTGTAGTGTGCCGAGTTGTGAGTTCAACACAGTTACACAATATTAGGATGTAAGGATTTTAGAGTTAGATTAATGACTTTATCAAAAATACTTATTACGGTATTACTGATATTTTATTTAACACTTTTTAATTTAACATCAACATAGACAAAGTAGGTAAATAATAGTAACAAATATAAGCGGAGCATATATACTGGATACATTTGGTTGCTAATGCTCTTTTGCAACTTTTTCCTATTCGAGATTTTGCGATTCGCGCGTGGTTCATATTACTTCTATTAATTTACTTATGGTTATAATTATAAATTGTAATTACGTAGTAACTATAAAATACATATGAAAAAATATAATGTATACATAGTACATTACACTGGAGTTGAAACTAAACATCTCAATAATATACTACTACAAAAAAAAAATTATAACGAAACTGAACATTATTATTTAACAACTAAAATAAAATGAAAACATATTATTTATATAGAAAGTACGTAGTTCAATTTTGAATAGTTTGATTCATAACTCATATTATTATCGTATTATAGTGATTTGATATGATATATTGATAACAGCCCATTGAGTAACTCTATGTAACAACCTAACATTATGATAATGGTGAATAAATTACGCGCATGCGCAGAATGCTTAAGGTGCATTCCTGTGTTACGATCCTAATATTCATAACCAAGTTTTATGTTTGTCGGTGTTTCCGAAACGTGATAACTAGGGAACGGATTTATATGTAAATGCATATTTTTATTAAAACGAGATGTTTAAGATTCGATAAGAAATGTTTATGATTTAAATCATTCCTATTAAAATTATGATACTTTTATTTTACATATTTTTACATATTTTGGTATAATTACATATTTTTACGTATTTCACTAATTTTTAAATATTTTTAAACATATTTTCATCATTCATACGTCTTCTTCGTACGAAAATACAAGAAATTATTTCAAAATTAGTTCCAGAAACTTTTATCGCTATTGGAAAAGCTCAAAATACTATGCAAAATGAAACATTGAAAATAATTTAATTTTAATTAAAAATAATTTAACAAAATTATTAAAAAAAAATATGTCCCCAAACGATAGTATGCAAATTGTTGAATCAGCGATTAAAACTCCTAAGCGGACCAATAGATGTCGTAAAAAAGAAAATTCATGCTGTTACAGAAAAAAATTCCAGACAATATTGATTTTAAAACAATCAATGACATAATGAATGGCAGACAACCTTTTAAAAATTTGAAATTATCGCCTTCTGATAGTATGCACTTGAAATATGCTTTTAATACATCGGTTGATATGAAACGATAATTTAGCTGTTTTAAAAATATTTTGATACCTAATAGGCGACATTTAACATTTGATAATTTACAAGATATTGTAATAATTCAATGCAACAAATCTTTTTGATAATTTAATAATAATAATCACTTTTTTTTTAAATTTTTTTCCCCACATATTTGGATGTTTTTAGCACATATTTTATAAATTATACTTACATATATTTGTACATATTTCTGTATTTTTATTACATATAAATCCGTTCCCTAGTGATAACTGATAACGACCAACGTAAAAATCGTTGGGTACCTCCATAATCAACAAATTTGTAATTATAAACACTATTGTTATGACACATATTAGTGTAAATAAAAAAAATTATTATTATTGTTACTACTATATAATTTTTTTTTAAGACATTTTTATTTAAATAAATAACCTAAAACAAAATTAATATTTTTAATTTTATCTATATAAATATCTATATCATGTGTATCCGTTATAAATCGCCCCCCCCCTACGTTATCTTGGTCTGGATCCACCCCTGGTGCACGCGTGTGATCGGTAAAGAAACACGAACGCGCTCACACGATAGACGTTGTATTTACACGAACAATATTATATTTATTAAGTCATCGTCGTCAATAAACAAATCGTTGTCGGTCAACTTACGTGTGTCTTGTGTACACGCGTATGCGTCGAAGAGTTCATTTTAATACATAATATCGCATTTTAATACATAATATCGCATTTTAATACACGTTATGGTTCGAGCCTATTGTTCGAATTGCTTATGCTATTATTATTATTATTATTATTATTATTATTACTATTATTATCTGTTGTACGCTTGTCGGTTTCGTCTTGCAAAACACTCGCCGCGCAATCGAGCGTTATGTAACGATGTTCAAGCGGCACCGAAACCACGTCGAAGATATGTGCATTTTAAAAAATTACCCAACACCGTATTTTTTTTTTTTCTCTCCGTCAATCCGTTTGATTTGAATGCCGGTTTTTTGTACCAAAGTCGGTGGCTTACACCTAGGATTTTATTGCTGTGGGTCAGCCTAACTCGGAAGAGGCCGTGTTGTGTAACCATCTATGTTCATTGTGTTACAAATTTCCTCGCAGATAACGATTTACTTTATTTGTTTCCTATATTGATACATAATACAAATCACTTTTCACGATAACAAAAGTGTATTACTATATTGTTGTTATTAATAAGTGGTTCATTATTAAACGTTGATTTTATTTATTGCGTTCCGAATGTTGCTAATTTAACAATAACTTTTGATTGTACCATTTGAACGATGTACTTGCATACAATTTTTTTTTTTTTTTTTTATTAAAACATTTAAGATCGTTTAAATTACGATAAGAGATCAAAATAAGGACCAGATAATAATGAGAAAAAAAATTGTGGGTCAACCGACCTGCCCCCCTTCCACCGAGTCCGCCCCTGACTGCAATATTATTTTACCGCGGTTGTAAGCTGTATCGCGCATACTATATTTATAACTTATTGTATTATAAAACATTACAAAAGCGCTTTGTTATAATTATTTGATTGTATATTCTTACTTATGTCCGATTCGCAATGAATCTTATAGGTGTCGAACAATTGGCTAGCAATGTTATTATGTTCCATAGTCCATCAAGTAATATCCGATAATTCGTTATAATATTCTGAATGCGGTACTACACACCACGTGTAAAGTCTATTCGCATGAAATGTTTCTTGTCACACGGAACACTCAAACTTCATTGGCAATACTATAATGATATACAACAAATAAAAAATAAAATTTCAATTTATATACCTTTACTTGCTTGATTAGATTTTTAATTATTTTTTTTCACATATATTTGTTTAATTCAACCGTATTTAAAACAAAAATGTGTTTCATAGTTTTACGACGAATCAAATATGAACGTCTCCATTCACGTAATTTATATATAATTTGTTTATTTTCGGATTTGAAATAATTATTTTGTTTAGAATACACTTTTGTTTACAAGTATAATACGTATATAACTACTTGCGTACAGTGTTTTAATTATTGTCTATAGTAAGAAACAATTATTTTAATAAATAATTATCAACAAATGAGTGGTATTTTTTATTATGTACCTAATCGTACGGGAATCACGGATCCGATGGTTTTTAAAGTTTTTATGCTTAATTGATTTGCAAATTTGTACGTTTTTCATACCAATCTATTTCAATGTAATTTTAAGTTTGTAAAAAGTTCAATCAAATCCTAACTTGGATTTTACAGTACATATATTCCGATAGTACCAAAATTTATCTACAGTATCTGACGTGATGGATTACATTTTTCCATTTCTTCTGACGCCCGCTGAAGGTGCTTACTACTTGCGTCGCCAAGTTCATTTAATTGGTAATAGCGTCCGGATCAAAAAGGTCAATAATACATCATAGCCCACTTATATCCCGGTCGTCTTTTTTTTTTTTTTTTATAACCTAGTTGCGTCTCGAAAAATCGATTATTTATACCTACACATTTGTCATGGACGCATGTCATGTTTTCAAACCTTTCTTCCATCTTAATTACCTCAGGGTTCCTTTTGAATATTAAAACAAAATAATTTCATAAACGCAGAGGCGTACGAAAAGAGTTGCATGTACCTACTTTGATGACAAAAACAGGTATTAAAAATATATTATATATATATATATATATATGAAACTTTTTTTTTTTTTAAAAAAAAAAGGTAAATACAACGATTGCAACAACAACAATATAATATAACTTCAAGTTGTATAATAAAATAGTACAATATGATTTAACGCTTTTCAAAAAAATGTTATTAAAATTAATGTCAATGCATCTATCATATCATATCCTTAGAATTTACAATATATACATTGTACATTATGTGAACCATCGATTTCTTTCGAATAGCGATATCACACGATCATATCGATAATATCGTTTAGCTCACATACTACATGCCCAACGTGACAAATATTTGTAGAATAATTCTAACTAATTATTAGTTGTTTATACAGTTTTTTTTTTAGCCATCAAAACTGTACACTAATTTTGTACAAATGTTGTGCACGGAGAGTACATATTTACACCGCAGTAGGGCAAATTCGATTGTTTTTTTCGTACGGGTTCTTACGGTAGGACAAACTTGAAAATGTTTTCCCCATGGAATTACAAAAACATTACTTACAACATTCGTGCGCTATATGCCATCGATAAGATATTTCCCGACTATTGCGTTCCAGATAACGCCACGCACGCCACCGATCGAATTCTCTTCCCTCGTCGAAGAATAATTTCTTCGATGACGTATACGGTAGTATTACGTAGCCGGTTTCAGCATTATAACACTGAAAAATTATTCTCCTCTTGACGTTGGCGATTATAACATTTTCCGACGGTAAAACGATTTTTCACCGCATACTCCGAGATGGCCGGGCAACATTTATTCCCCATCGTGTATGTGCTGTATGTGCGTCTTATGGTATGATATACGTGCAGCGCTCTCGCATCATTTTATTATGCGCACGTTTATAGTAATGGTAATAACAATAATAATAATAAAAATAATAATAATTATAATGATAATATTAATAATAGTATACTATTACGTGAAACTCGTACACCCGATCCCGCAAAATATAACTAACTCGCTTATTTATACGCTTTCTCGGCGTAAAATCTATGTGACGTAAAATGCACCGGTTTAAGAAAAACTAAAAGGATTTTTTTGCTATTGATCTTTCGCTGCGCGGAAGGAGACTCGGCACCGATACAAAACAACAATATGTTCCAAACAACATAATATTGTGCTCTGTAATCGTGAAAACAAGAATTATATACATTATTATCGGGCTCATAGTCCATTAAACCGTACATCGTAGTTTCGATGTTTTTTACTTTCGACGAAAACAATATTGAACAAACTTTAAAACGTCAACACCGGTCGTTGAGAAAAAACAACTCTCGAAGATAACAATTCAAACATAATTATTTATTGCACTTGTTAATTTCCTCGGTGACTAATAGCAACATTTTATGTAAACTATCCAATATAAATTATGCAACAATAATTATGCATAAATATATAATGTATAAAAATGTATTTTATGGGATATTTACCATGGGAATTATAATTGGTTTCGGGTGAACAATCAATACAATTTATATAATTTGGTGTTTTTTCAGTATCAGTAATTAATGTAAGAAAGTGTTACTTGTGTAGTAATAATTTTATTTTTAAATATTTACAAACTGTGCATTGCCCAACGAATAAATTTGATCGTAAAGTACATTTTGAATAGTAAATTGAGTACATTATTACTCATTTTCTTTCAGATGACATTCAATCAATATTTACTATTTTCTCTCTTCTTATCAGTACTTTATTTTATCCAATCATTCGGTTTGTGAAAAAATAAACATAAAAAAAATTATAAATAATGCGTTTGGAAGATAATAATAATTTTGAAACGTATGAAATACTCGGCTGTTTAATCTATTTTATTGCCTAACAATTGTCTGTTGATAAAATAATGGAAATTTTACCCAACTATAACTTACAAGAATTATAATTTATTGTTGGACGAATAAAAATGTACAAACGCGATATGCGCGTACGCACGTAACGTGTAAACGTGTCTTCAGCGAACTGATGCTGGTGACGAATGGTCTTATGGATATCATGAGTAATAAATGAATCGTATAATCAATATATTTTGAAACAAGCGGTCTTCGTGTATGAATAAATGTAATATTCAAATCGCCCACGTTTTACATTTTTATTTGTAATTTTTTCCATCTCACTTAATGACCGTTTAGCTTCAAGACCACCGGGATTTTTCCCAACGCCCATTCCGTCTCTGGATACGACAATAATACGTTAGTGCGATGAGGAAATAAATATCTGATCGACATTTCGTCCACTGTAAGGATAATTGTTTTGTGAACAATGGGATTCAGTGCAATCGAGCAACGTCTAGTGATGAATACTGAGAGTACTTTTATGTTGGTACGTTATGTCTAAGTTTGATTATCTGACGAGTGACGCATTATATAAATATTGTCAAAGAAGCGCTGAGTTTAGAATGCTTGAATGAAATGATAACGTTCAAGAGCAATTTTATTAAAATACTCAATTTGTCGTCGTTTATAAATAAGATCAATTAATATAATTCAAATTAATGAAAAAACGAATTCCCATTGGATGTTTAAGAATTTCAATGTTAACAACGTCAATCAAAAGCAGTTTCTGTGTAATATTTTCTATTTTAACAGTCAACAAAACTATTGAAAAATGTAATGAAAAAGTGAAAAACAAATAATTAGTTAATTGTAATAATACTGACAACATACTTTCAACGAATTCGAACAATTTACCACGTTTGCGTTTTTTCAAATTTGCGCGGCTCCATAAATTATACAATCTATTATTATTATATATATAAGTAGGTATTTAAGTTTTCGGATGAATTAAATCACATCGTACATTTACAAGTCTACTAGTTTAAAATACACACATGTCTGTTTACACGTAATTAGAACACATATACTCCCTTTAACGGGCAAATTGAATTCGACTATTTACATTTTGTGTACATTTTAACTAGTTTAACGTGTAAATATACATATATTTTACGTAACGTTATTTTCCTACATTGGATCTTCAATACAATTGTACCCACTTTAAAGTCGAATCAGAACTTTAGGTTAAACAATTACTTGGTTATCCATACGTACGAAGAAATAATTATAATTTGTCTGTCCAATATAATATATAAACTAACAGTTGATAAACATTATGAACACACATTAACTTAACTATCATATTTTAAGTTTTCCAAATCTGTCTTGACAAGAGTATATTTATTCAACAAATTAATTCACATATGCACAGTGCTTGATTTTGCTAAAATAAAGAAGGAAGACTCTGTTTAGTTTAAAGAAAATAGCGTCCCCAAGACTTGTTAAACGTTATATTTATAACGCAATAATAGTAGGGGGGCGCTAAAATTTCTAAAAATTAGTTGGGTTACTCCATCCCTCTGCGTCCCCCCTCAAGTCAAGCACTGCATATGCATAATAATTATGTATATTATATTATTGTATTATTATTTATTCGCATAAAACTAGTTTTAAAATCGCTATATTTTTTATATTTTTGCAATGGTCTTTATTTTCTAAACCTTGTTTTTTTTTTTTTAATTTTTCTTGTTTGGATTTAATTCTACTTGAGATATAAAGTAAATGGTTTTCAAAACAGATTTAATATGCAAGTTCCAATGTCAATATCAACTCAAATGTATTCTTCTTACGTAAAATCATATCTTGCATTAATTTTGCTTTATTGTCCTTAAATTCTATAACACTTATAGTATAATTTGAATTTGATATTATTTTGAAGAACACTTTAAGAACTTGACTCCGGAAACAGTTGACTTGTTTTGCCCTCTAATACATTTGCTACTATAGAATGCTTAATATGTATATGCCATTGATAAATACCATTCAATGTTAATTTGTTTCCAATAAAATAAACGTACAAAGTCATTATCGAATATTGATCGGCATAATAAATCGTTTGTTATGGTATTACAGTTCTCCTCTTGGGTCAACCGCTTTTTGCAATTTAAGACTACAGTTAAATACGATTCGTTTACACTGACTTTTGGAACACTTACCCATATAATGGTATACGAAAGACATCGAAAACCGAATTCAGTAAACGCGGTATTATGCTGCGTCTGCAAAACAATTCACAAGCTAAGTTTAAGTTTATCATGTATCATTTATAAGCGTATAAAGTATTGACTAAAAAAATCTTAAAACCGAACATTTCAAACACTTCGAGCGACTTCAAGTTTCCAGGAAAAGAAAAACACCGGTGGAAAATGTTCGACTAGGAATAATGTAATTGCTGTTGAAAAAAAAACAAATTATACTACTTGCTGCAATATTACGAGTATTTACCCTAAATATACACGGTTGCTCTTACAAATATAGATTGGTTAAATGTATAGTGAATCGATATTATAAAATATTTATTTTTAAAAGTAGATTAAAAAATAAAATAAAAAATATATTTATCAACTCGCCAATTCACGCCAAACAATAGTTTATAGTCGATACGTTGAACGATACAATAAAGAACGTGGACATTTATTTTGCTCTCTGTGAGAACGAATAAATCAATTATTAAACAATATCCTTTTAACGTTTTGAAAGATGTGCGAATTATATGGAAGTCGCAGTGAATCGGCAATGTGATCTCTGCGCTTTTATCGAAGCGGCCACAGTAAATATTTCAACGAAAATTTCAGAGCACAAACGCATTAGTCCGCCTTGCGACCAAATAGTGAAAAGGGTAAACCGGCAAGGGAATGAAAACACATAGATCTCTTAGTCCGACTGTTTCGGCCAACTTGTTTCGTATATTATATTGGCCATCTAATCGTCTCCGTCGAAGTTTCGCGCAGAGACAATTTACAGGAACATGTGCTAACGGTCGCACGAAAATAACAAACCGAGTGTCCTCGTTTGAACTTTATGCCGAATACGAAATATCGAACAACTTATAAAAACTTTTAAAAATCTCTTTTTCGAATTAATTCGCAAAATCATATTAATCTCCTCGCGCGCTTTAGCATTATGTACAGTGTATATTGCCTTCGTTTGATCGTCGTACTGTAGGCAGCAGAGCTCGTTACGTTTTTTTTTTTTTTTTTTTAATGGCATTTCGCAAACTAAGGTTGGTTTGTTTAAAAAAAAAAAAAAAAGGTTTTTGTGCAAATGGCATTTGGTCGTTCCGTTGTTTTATTAATATTTTGATAACATGACTTCATACCCATTCCATATTTTAAATGAATAAAATACGTACGCATACTACGAGCAACTACGTGTAGTACGAATACGATGTTATGTTATCTGTCGTTAACCCACCGCAAACGAAATATAATAGAGAAAGTCTCCGCCGTTGGTCAACAATTGACGAATGCGTATTTTTCGGTCAACCATGACGTCGGAAGTTATATGTAGAGTACGCACAACGGAGTAAACTGGTGCATACTCAATCGTCACACGAACATTAGTGGAATATAGGTCGTATTAATGATTGTATACTGCGTACAAATTACACCGGTAGAGTTATTGTAGAGATATCCACAATTATTATTTATTACCCGTGTTGCGGAAACAACGTATTTCGAATTTAAATTCTATAACATTTCACAAGTTAACAACTATAAATTGTAACCTCACTGGCCACCGCCGCACCATAAATCTAATTTTTCATATTTTACAACACTCTAAATGCAGCTCAGGTACACGCGGTATCACCACTACAATGTATACGAATAACAAACTTAGCACTAAGGTTACTCGGATATTTATTAGTTATAATGCATTATTTTTGACAAACTTTAATTTGTTATAACCAACTTCCTCAAAAGTAATACATACTTTTCACTTGTGTGTGTACATAAATTATAAAACTTATACCCACGCATAACGTTGATGCCTGCCATCGGTA